ACTGCCTTTCATGTCAAAGACTGTGGCTCTGATCTCAAACACAGCTGAGCGTTTATCATGAACCAACTTCTAAGCTTAACCCTGTACCAAGAGAACAAAATCCTGTGGGGACATGCGTACCCCAGTGTGCATGAAAAATACAAGTGTTTTCCACGCTTGTGTGCAACATTTCTAGGGTCTGAACCCACTTCCACGTGCCCTGCCCTTGGATTTACCGTGGGTTTTGTTTGTGCTACCTCTGCAGCAGCCTACAAAGGCAGCTCCCTTACCCTGGCTCTCCCCTTCCCTTTCTATTTCAGAGCTCCGTATAATGTCAGGCAAAAATCAGTGGACTTGGATGAGGAGGATGTGCCTTTTACTCCAGATGAACATAAAAAGAGGTACGGCCTCCGGGTAACCACCTTTCTCTGCAGGGGCAGCGACAAGTGGACTTACCTCAGTCTAACTGTTCATTACAGAAAGGGTCAGTTCGATGATGATTACAGCCGAGCCATTAGGGCTGGTTGCAATGAAATAATAATAAGCAGATATTTCTACACAGAGCGCATCTATGCCCACAGGCGACTGCGATCCCAACAAAATATAATTAAAAGCCTGACATGATTCAGCCTGACAGCATACCCCAATTAATTTGGCAGCTGGAAATGGGTTGTGGACTCAGTCAGCTCCGTAGTGCCTATGTGAAAAGATAGAGAGGTACAAATAGCGTGGCAGGAGCGGGAGGAGCCCACCTCCCACAGCCTGCGTGTGCGTCTGAGTCCGGACCACGCGGGGACTGGCATCTAAGGCCAGATCCAGATGGGTCCCTCGCCCTGGTACCAGCAGTAGAATGTGTTTTGTCTGCGTGGTCTGTCTGCAGCTGATGCAGCCACCATCCTCATTGCTTTCAGTCAAGTTTCTGAAGATACTTTTCCTCAGATGCAAGACTTTTACAAATGAAAAGTTGATAATTTGCCCACTGGAAACGAACCAATAACAGTCAGAGAACTGCACTTATCCCTCGGTGCATTGGGTGGTGCTGATGTCTGTGTAGACATGTGCAGCCCATGTAGCATGTCAGCCACAAAGCCTGGTTCCTGGCTTTTTTGTCCCCTGGTATGCAATATTGCAACGGTCCTGGTCTTGAAAAGGGGAACTCCCTCTGCCCTCCTGGAAGAGGAAGGTTTGTTTTTCACATCCATGTGAAAGTGCTGTGGCCCAGCATGAATGATACTAAAAACAGCAGAAGACATTGTTACTCCTCTTAGCTCTGGCTGCATTTCTGCTACCCGGAGCATGGGAGCTCCATCATGGTTAGCACAAGCCTCCACAGGGTTGTTCACCTCTTGCCTCTTCAAGGCTACAGCCAGCAGCCACCAACAGCATGAGCAGAATGTGACCCCTTCCTTCCCTTCCAGGACAGAGGCGGCCAACAGCGTCCTGAGACGCACTGCCAGCAGGGAACGTGCTTACGTCCTCTCGGCAGCCAAGAAAAGCAACGGGTGAGTCTTCAGCGTGCGAGTGTGGGGCAGGAGACAGGGAAGAGGCTGCTAAAGGCAGTCTCACGGGGATAGTGGCCCAAGCCAAGGCTCTCTGACAGTGATGGGTACCTTTCCTATGAGTGGAGAAGACATAGCTGCCGTCTCTCTAGAAGTGCCAAGGATATCTGCAGGCTTCTACAGAACTGCGGAAATCCTCCAAGGTCTTGGGAAGCCTGCCTTGCTGAGAGGGATGAGATTTCAGGAAGAGGAAAACCATGATAGTCCCCAATTTCCTGGGGCCCACTATCTTCAGTTTTCAGGCTCGGTTCATAACACTGCTCTCTCCAGTCCTGTGGCCTGCAAGGGGAAAATCTGAATAAATATAAACTGCATCCAGTATGGATCAGCTTTCTGCAACAGAGTTTGCCTTTACATTGTGTTTGAACAATAGCTAGATTTACAAGATCCTGATCTTAGTTGCAGCTTCAGAATAGTTCTGTGGGGAAAAAGAACCCAACAGTGATGCGTGGATGGGTCATAGGAATGTGAAGGATGTGTGGGAGCTACTGGTGTTCAGGGCTCTGTTGTCCATCTCTTTCCTGGGAGGGGAAAAAAGGCAGATTGCCAAGGTCTCTGATCTCCCAGGAGCAATGACAGTGACTTTTTTTGCAGCTTGCTTTCACTATAGATCTTTTTCCTCTTGACATAACTCAGGGTGACACAATGAGGCACCAGGAGGTTGCTGGTGCAGGAGGAAGCAGGGGGGGATGCACCAGCAGCACTCAGCTGTGCCCAGAGTGACAGAAGTGCTTGGGTGGGATTCGTAAGGACGTTAAGGGTGTTTGCACTGGCTGCTAGATCCTCTGGTGCATCGTGTGGCATGGAGGGAGGCAGGTTTGTATGCAGGAAGAAAAACAGCCACCAGGAAGGTATAAAATTAAAAAGGCCCTTTGGGGAAGCTTCTTCACAGGTTGTAACTAGCTGCTCTTCCTATTTTTGTTTCCCCCACTCTGTAATTTGCGCGGGTTTAACACACCCGGTCACTGTCAGCTCTGCCCAAATGGTGTTACATGGCCCCTTAATGCCTTGCACTATATGGGTCAATTATGGGTCAGAGACTCTGGGAGCTGCCCCTGCCCGAGGTGTGTCTTGACCTCCAACCTTCTAACTGTTGCCTTTATGCTTCCTTTACAGCAGCCCAACACAAGAATTTCCACCCTTGTTTGCCAAGAGGTAGGTCACTGACCCTCGGGAAGTGCTGCTGGGGCTGGGCGTTTGCGTTGCTGTACCAGGGCTGCTGTTAAACGCTGGGACAGGAGATCCCGGGGTGTTTCAACGCTGAGGAGGGACACTTCCATGAAAGGGGTGCTCTCGGTTGAGTCACGCTGGCTTTTGAGAGCCCGCAGTGTCGTAAACACCGAGGATACAGTACTGATGATGCTTTGGGTTATGGGCAGCCTGAAATCAGGAGAGGCTCGTTCGCTGCCTTTCTTCTTCCAGGGGAGGCTGGTTCCAGCTGGCAGGGTGAAGGCTTCAGGCACTTAACTTCTAAAGCAGTTGGTGTGACAGGGAAATGATGCCCAGGGCGCGCTCTGGGATTTAACCATTCGGCTGATGCTATTTGCAAAGCAACTGTGACAGCAAAATGCCACCGATTTGGGCTGAAGATCTCGCTTCATTCAGTTGGTTGAGGTGCTCAACAGTAGCAGAGCACAGGGAGCACGAGGAGCAGGAGAAATCTGCCTCTAGGGGAAACAGAGGGAGAGCATAGCTTAAGGGAAAACAAGAATAACTGCCTGAAATAGATAGCAGTGGGGCATAGGAAACAGCATGATATTTGTCTCTCTTTTTGCCTTTGGAAAGAATTGAGATAGAAGAAGAGGAAGGACAGCAGAGGAGGAGTCCAACTGTGTCTGATTCCTGCACATTTACACGGGATGACAACAGGTATTTACCTCATCCTGCAGCAGTGTGGTGACTGTCTTTGATTTTAGGGCACACTCATTTGCCATCTTCGCAGGTAACTGCATTTGTCTGCAAGGTAGCAGTTATCTGAACACCACTAGAGATGAAGGTTTTTCAGAAGAGACGTCTCAGAAAATCCTGATTGCCCCTTTTGTTGCAAAAAGGGAAAGATCCAAAATGAAAAATGAGGTCAGCTAACTTGGCATAACAAACGGGCAGGCGTGGGGACAGTGTAAAGCACCCAACTGACAGCCCTGGAGGGTGACAAACTGCATTTAACTACAGGCCAACTCTAATGTGAGTTGTACGGTGTAAACCTGCCGCTGAGCCCCTCTCCTGATCACGCTCCGCAGCCCGATGGGTCCTGTCTTCACAAGGTGCTCATGTGCCACAGGAATGAGCCCGGCAGCGCCTGTGGAAAGACAACTTGCAGGAGGCGTCGGAGCAGCCGTCACGCAGATAGTAACGATTTCCTTTTATGAGCAAACTTGGCTGCATGAACTGACCCCATCACCTAGACCTGAAATACTCAATATCTCATTATTTCCAGTCCCCTGAGCCAGCCCTCTGCTTTTGTTAGACTTTAGATTTAATTATTCTGCTGTGATGGCAGCAGATAGGTGCGACCGGAGAGGTTTGAGAGGTTCATTATCTTTAAACTGATCTTTGCTTTGATGGGAAATGTTAGCCTCATTTCAAGCCCCCAGCCCCTTTCACAGCCTGCTGTGAAGGCCAGGTATGCGCAGAGCCATACAGAGCCGTGGCAGCCAGGCCGGAGCGTTCCTGCCGTGGTATGTGAGACCTGGGGACGGGCTGTCTGCTGTACAGGGGCAGCGGTGACACCCTCCCCTAGTCCATACTGGTCAGGAACACGTGGTGTGGGGCTGAGTGGGACCAGTATGCAGAAACGTTTGGCTGAAATGGAAGTCTTTGCTCTAGGAGGGAGAATCCTTCTCTCTTTTCAAGCAGATTCATTTAATTTGGGATTCAGCGCTCCGTTCCTGCTCTGCGGGGTGACTTGATGCCAGGCAGCAGCTTTATTAGCTCCTCTGCCACTCTGGTCCTTCGTGGGCGCAGCAGGGAGTCCAATAAATGAGGCCTTTCAGCCCGAAATGCTAAATTTTGAGGATGAAGGAGCTGCCTCGTGAATTTTGGTAGCAATTTTGTGCCATTGTGGTTCAGGTTTGAGGCAGGGCTGGGAAGCAGTTACCCTCCTTTCCTCACATATCACACACATGCACACAGTGAAGTCGGTTTTGTGAATGCACCAAGCTTTAATCTGTACGTGTGGGGAAGTTGGATTTTAGTGCAAACTCAAACACTGGGGACAGAAACAGCTCCAGCTGTGTTAAATAGGAAAAGCCAGTTCCTAGAGACAGAGTATTTCAGCAGAGAGGCAGATATGAGGCACACCAGTGCAAGGGTCAACGGCGTGTGCGAGTCCTTGCACAGCAGGGTTTGGCCTCGCTGCCCAGCAAGCAGACACAAGAGTCGTGGACCAGAAAGCAGGATGTGTGCCCCACAGGAAAAAGCACCTAAAAAATCTTCTCTTTTTGATGCTTTGTTACCTTTTTTTTGTCAGTTCTAATGGGCTAAGAAAAACCACTGCTGGGTCTTCCTGGAATGAGCCAAAGACAGCAGCAGTGTCTCCCTCCAGGTAAGGTTTATAGCCCAGCCAGGAGGTCTCGGACATCTCTTGGGGCTGCACCAGCCCACCCGTGGCTGTAGCACCCATCTCTGGGCACCCTTCTGGGAGGGTCAGTGAAGCAAATTTGTCAGCCTTGTACAAGGGAGACTGTTCTTAGATGCAGGCAGCTGTTTTAAAAAAGATTTTATTTCTGAAATCCACGTTGTGGCCTGCAAGGATCTGGCAACGTCCTGATAGAAGTGCTCAAAACCTGAAAGAAAAAACCCAAACACGCTGAACTCTTTCTCACCAGATATGTGTAGGGGAATAATTTTCAGCTGCTTAGTTGAATTCGTGACTATAGTATAAAAAATGTTGACACGGCTTTCCACAGCACTGCAAACAGCGCTTTGGTTACTGACCTTGTTCTGTTGTTTTTTTCTTTCTGTATCATCGGCAGAAGGTAGATGTTCCTGGCAATATCAGTGTTTTTAATTTAAAAATTGTTTCCGATAAGACAACTTTGTAAGTAAATGTATTGAAAACAGTGATGTTTGTTTTCCATTTTACTTATTCGCAGAAAGGAATACTTTAATGCGGGAAAATTCTGGCCAGCTGCAGTGGAGAGCTGGTTTGTTCAGGAATGACAGCTTTTTTGCTTGCCTTCTCTTGCAGCGCTGAAACAGGCAGTGAGAGCCAAACAACCGCATCCTCGAGTGAAACTTCAGGGAGAATCTCCGCTTCTGCTGAGCTCAGGTAGCTCTGCTGGCCCTGCGTCATCCTGAAGCTCCACAAAGGACAGCAAGGGGCCTTTGGCTCTGCTGGGTGGTCTTTTCCCAGATACACACGATTGCTCTGGACAGAATGCAGTCACGGAACAATAAATGCTACAGCACAGGGAGCCTAAGAAAGCAGCGCTTTACAAAAGCGTTAGCAATCTGGGAGGAAATACACCCAGATGGAAGCTGCGGGCCTCCCACAGCCTGAACATTACTCAGCTCTTTCCGATGAGAAAACGAGCCCAGAAACTGCAGACCTTTCTGTCTCCTAAACTGATCGGGCTTTCGTTTTAATCCAGTCCCTGCACCGTAGGTAGCACACTTCCACCAAGCACCTTGCCGTACAGTTCCTGTGCCTCACTTTGTGTCCCCTCGTCTCCCTGCCTAATCGTTCTTGCTGTTTTGCTTGCAGCAATGGTGAAAACAGACAGGCCCCTCATGGGAAATCCTCATCCGAAGCTGTGTCACAGCATGGCGACGGGTAAGAACTTGAATAAGGCTGGTCTGTGCTGCCGAACATAAGGCGTAACCCTGCTTTTTGCTCAGAAATAGTTTGTACCTACTGGCGGTCTCAGACAGATGGGATCTCTCCAGTCATGGTCCTGGCTGCTCTCCAGGAGCATCATCTGCTGGCTAAGCTGCACCTTGTTGGTTTTCTCCACTCTTCCTTCACCTCCCTCAAGGGTTCTTCTCTCTGGCTCAGTCCCTAGAGAGTCTACTTTGTGGGGTTTTTTAATTTATTTTTTTTTACCTTGCTCTCCAACCTCACAACTCACTCTCCACGTCCATCAGTGAAGATAAAGCTAGAAATGTTCCCAAACCAATATCTCAGGCTGAAACCAAGTCTGGAGTTCTTGAGAAAAGGTAGAGGCTGGGCTATTGTCACGGTCGTTCAACTGAGGCCCATAAATATATCCTCGTATGTCACTGCAGGGACAGCCTGATTACAACGCACTCATTGTGCTCGGGGTCATTTGGGTCACATAGCGGCTCCTAATTGTGAGTCAGGCGCCCAGAGAAATTAGAGGATGCCTCATTATTTAAGCTACCTAAAACTGGAGAGGGAGTAATTGGCGGGGAAGGAAGGAGACAGACGCGCAGCTTGACAGGTCTGGGGGAGTGAAAGATGGGTGTAGGGTCCAGCTGGAGGACCTGTAGGAAGGCCTTTCTGGCCCAGGAGCAGAGAGACAACAACTGTTGTAGGGCACTAACGCTGACCTGAGCAAAGGGGTTAGCAGTACCTCGCTGCAGGGAGCAGCACCTCTCTCTGCGTAACCCATGAACTGCAGTCAGCCCCACCGTACCCCAGAGGCTGGCCCTTCCTATCCGGGTAGATTGAGTTAGCTTTGTGCTCCTCCTAATTAAAGCTTAGAGGACTGTTCTAGGATGATAGACTATAAATGCTGTCAGGTCATATCTTGCTGGCATTTTCCTTTTTCTAGTGACAAAGCTGTGAAGGAAAAGTCTGAGCTGTTCCCATGGGATGAAGTGGCCCCCAGCGCAACCATGGCCGCCATGAATGGAAGGTAGAGTTAGTGTGAAATTCCTGGAGCATGGTGGGAATGATAAACTGCTGCTCCTCAGCTGTCTGGAAACTCTGAATGGATAGTTACTGATGGAAAAACACAGTTCAATCTGTGCCATGCAGAGCTGCAGCAGTTTCTCTAAAATTTTGTTTAAGAAGGGCGGGGGGGAAAGAAAACACAAGGATCCTGCCCCTCCCATGGGCATCAGTGCTTCTGGCATGCAACCAAGCTGATTGCCCATGGATCTTCTTAGCTTGGGCTCCATGCTGCGCTGCTCTTCACTGCTGTAGGGCTGGAGAAATACCTCCTTCTATAGAGAACACTGGCTTAATTTGATCTAAATACCTCTGTGAGTCTGAGGGTACTTCTCAGCCATCCACTGAAGGCGACCGAAACAACTCAGTTCCTGCCTGTTGTGTGGCAGCAAGCGGCAGTCTCCACGGCAGTCCGTCTCACAGCTTTTCTAGGGCGTCTGCGCCCGCACTGGAAAGAATTTAGAGATTCACAGACTGAGAAAGGCTGCAAACTGCAAAGAGCAGTGGCTGTGCTTCTGTCCTGCCCGAGAAGGTGGAAGTGAAGGCGGAGAGGCATTGTGGTCTGCAGAAGAGAAGTTCAGTGAGAGCTGTTCACTGCCTACAGCCTGGGAACAAGAAAACGGACGCATACAATTTTTGGATCAGGCACCTGAAGTTCCCTGTTTTGTCAGCATCCTGAGACAAGCCAGAGGATGTCAGGGCCGTTCCTTCCCTGTTGTGCGTGCAGATGGAGGTGCCTGCATTGCAGCTGTAGGCTGTAGGACACCCCACTGCTTTTGGAGGAGTCCTGGCTTGAATTTCCAGATGACTCCGTACCGCTGGCATCTGTCATACGTTGATGATGTTCAGAGTTACTAAATGCTCCTTTGTACTTCATACGCACTGAGTTTCCCCAAAGTTTTTCAGTATTTTACCTGTAGAAATATACTGAGGAACATCTCTGGGAAGTTTTAGGGATTTCCTCCTCTCTCTTTTATTAAATGCGTAAGAAAATAATTGTAGAACATTAACCAAACCAAAGATGCTTTCTAAAGTTGTTTTCTCTCCTTTTCAGTTATCCTGAACACACAGAAGCCAGCAATGGATTTCACCCACCAATGTAAGTGTAAACCTATTAACAGTGTAAAATTCACTTTTTCTTCTCGACCTTTGAGTGAGAGGGGTCTTTTCCTGACCTAGCACTGCCCTAACAAATGTGTTCTGGGAGCAGCACTTGCATGCACTTGCAAAGGGAGGGTGGACCTGATCCACCAGCTCAGAATGGACTGAGATCTTTCAGCCGTTTTCCATGCACTAGCGCGAGTCAGTTGGATTTATGTCTCTGCCCTTCAGGTCTGCTGCAGGAAATGTACTGAGCTAAGCAGGAAGGAGGAAAAGACGTTATATTTGAGACAGAAAAATTTCACGTTTGATGTTTTTACTTCTTGCTCTGTTCTCCAACTTGCTAAGCTTCCTCCTGTGACCTGTGAATCTCCCTCTCTTACCAGGTCCAACTCTGGGTGCAGGGACAGCCCTGCAGATGCTGCAGACAAGCTGCACCGTCAGTACGAGACCTCTCACTACCTGGATGATGCAAAGTCTGAAGCTGCAAGGTCAGGGCCTGGTGCTGGTACTCACAGTGCTGCTCGCAGAGGGCAGATGTGGAGGGGAGTAGTAGTAACTCATCCAGAGCAGAGTTGGAAGCAGAATCCAAACTGGGCAACAAAGCAAGGGCAGCCAGAAAACCCTAGGTGGCTCAACAGTGGGAGCAGTATTCTCTCTGTTTGCTGTTACACATCAACGTTTTGTGCAGAAGCAGCCTGGGAGCAGCTACAGCAGCTTTACCATTGCTTTTAGCATTCATCTTAAAAGCGTCTCTGTTCCACATGCGTTTTAGAGCGTGCTCGCTCCCCTGACAGTGTCAGAGGTGCAGAGTCAGGAAAGAATTGCTGCTGTTGACATCAAACGCACTAATCTCCCTGAAGCTGCTTTCTTCACTTACTTTAGTGCATTATTTTGGGACTTGACTCCACGGATGGGCTTTCCAAAGGACCTGAGGTGAGCCAATGATGTCTTTAAAGCTCCCAGCTGAGGTGAGGAGGGTCACAAGGCTCCCAGTAGGATGGTGTAAGACCCAAGACCCAGAGCTGCTGCTAGTGGCGTAGGAACGTCTTCCCCAAAGTTGGTGATACTGTGTTTTGTCCCAGGTGAGCGATCTGTGACAGGCCAGAAAAGTCGTGTATCCAGCCAAGACGTGTGTGAATTGAGGCCAAGTAACTGCATTAGTTCCACTAACAGCCTCTATTCTTCTTGATTAGAGATGGTGAAAATGTTTTTTCTGAAGGAAGATCAGTTCTCTGAGAAAATGACTTTCTGTTTTCTGGTCTCTCATAAAGTGCAGTGTTGGTATTTCATACAAGTTTCTCTTGAAGCCTCTGGCAAGCTATCAAGCTGTAGGTTCCTTCCTTTTTTTGACAGTTCTAGCCTGCGGTCTGATGTCCCCTCTCCTCCTACTGAGAGAGCCCCCGTGCACCTCGAGGACACAGAATATTCCTTTAAAAGGTAAGAGTGGGGTAAACTTAGTGGGCTTATGGTAATACTGAGGATTAAGGGAAATCTGAGTAGGCAGGCACAGAAAGAGACTACTTTTCACAGCTTTTGTCCCAAGGATGAAGGCAGCTGTGCTGAGGTTTAAAGCGCAGCTTGCAAAATAAACAAAGAGGTTTGCACTGTATCCCTCCTCCATCTTCCTTGAGATGAACCAAGCACCCCAGCTTTTTTCCCTCCTCTTGGTGCTTGTGTGCTTGGTGGGGTCCAGTCACTACCTGCTCATTTGCTGATAATCCAGTGAAATGTTACAGTGATGCTGGAGTGGCAACAGGGCAGTGGAAAGGCAGCTGAAAAACACTGAAATGCAGCTGTAGTCTAAATCTGGCCTCTAGAGAAAAATCCTAGTGCTGGACAGTGCGTGGTACAGGTTGACACAAGCCTTGCCTGGTGAGTGGGCAGTATTCACTGGTGCAAGGATTCACGTGCCAGATGTTAAAGATGCAATGAGCCTTTCTTTGATTAGCAGATCTGTCCTGGGCTACGAGGAGAGAAGCAGCGCCCAAGAGAGCAGATACACGAACCCTGAGGTCCCAGCATACAGCAAGCCTTACTGGAGTGAAGTGATGTAAGGACCCGGGGTGCTAACCCCATGTTGGCTAATACGTTCTTTCTCACTGTTGAGAGCCTTGGAAATACTGATAGCTCAGAAAATATCCAGCACAAGAACAGTAGCGTAATAAGGGCCACTAGTCCAAGCAGCATTAAACTGCTCCTTTCTCCAGCATGTTCACTGAAGACTAACCACGTGCATCTGGCATTTCCCAGCAGCCCATAGCCTTGCTGCGTGTGGCACAGAATCACAGAATGGTCGGGGTTGAAAGGGACCTCTGTGGGTCACCCAGCCCAACCCCCTGCCCAAGCAGGGTCACCCAGAGCAGGCTGCACAGCACCGCGGCCAGGCGGGGCTAGAATATCTGCAGAGAAGGAGACTCCCCAGCCTCCCTGGGCAGCCTGTTCCAGTGCTCCGATCTCCTTTCGGCTCCACCAGTCCTCTCCTTAGGAGTCTGGACAGAGATGTCTGCCGCATCCTGTACCAGTCCTGGGGTGGGATATGAGTACGCATCACCCACTTCTTCTCCCTTGCTTTCTGCAGGGAGCAGCCCAAGGCACGGAGCCAGATATGAGCTGGGGCAGTAGGACAATTGGGGCGCACTCCTGGGAGTCTGTTTGCGTGGACTGGTACAGCTTTTGAGTACTTTGGAGTTTGCACCCTAGTGCAGAGATGGCAAAGGTCTCTAAAAACTCACAAGAAAAACAGCCAAACAACCATCATCATCATCATCACTTTTACAGCACTGTATGCCCTAAAGCCTTAGTGGAGGCAGCCACAGTGCTCCCCCGGAGGGGTTCCTATCCCACAAGACCAGCAAGCAGAAACCCAATGAGCTAAAAATTGCTTTACCAGAAGGACTGCAGTGAGGGAGGAGTCACTTGACTCCCCCATCAGGAGTCTGATGAGGAAAGAGAGGTTTTGCTCTGCAGTAATTGTTCAGACTCCCTCTATTGCCATGGGTGAGGAAAAAAAGATCCTTCTAGAAACGCTGAATACTTTATCCCACCCCTTTCAGATTGCCTATTTCAGCTGCCAGCTGTACGTGGATGGCTGAATTGCACCCTGAATTAGCAGCAGGACTAGGAATAGGCCACGTTTCTCCTCAGTCCAACATTGTTTGCACATCCATGTCTTTACCATCCTTCCTCGCTGGCGTGACTCAGGTCAGGTTCCCTCGGCTAATACTCCTTTTCTGGAACAGCATTGTCAGGCAGGAAACTCCCGACGGCCCTTCCCATTCCAGGGGAAAAGGTAGAGCTAAACAGAGCTGTTGAGTGTTGAGTCTCATAAAGCACAGCTCCCACACAGCATTGCCCAGGTGATTCCCTCACAGTCCACCTACTTGGCATGCTGGAGCGACTCCTTCTCCCGTATAGATCCAGCTCTTCTCTGAGAGACAGCAGCGTCGTTACTCCAAAGGCCTGGTGCAAAGCCAACGTGCACCCTGAGAATGGGGAGTTTGAGCTAGAAAGGCAAGGGGAGGTGAAGCTGTGCTGAGTGGTGTCATTGGAAACACTGAATGAGGGAGCCTGGCTACAAAAAACCTTTTGGAGTATTGGACAGGGAGGAACATTTCAAATTCAGCCTCAGGTATTATCAGAGTCCAGCTGAGGGCTACAAGGATGATGAGGGGACTGGAGCATCTCT